TGATAAAATGTGGTATTTAGAAGAGAATATCCGTGAGTTCATGTTGGTATAAATAAATCAGTGGTGGAGTAATAGAATTGCAGCTAATAAAGCTAGAAGAATGAGGGGAATAGAAAATCATCATTTTTCAAACAACACAGTAGTAGCTGTTTCAGGCAAGAAGAATCATCAATGAATGCTAAAATTTGTGGTGGAAAGTATGATGAGAAATAGAACATTTTCAGAGTCTCAAAATATTTCTCCAGAAGATAATTATCAACTACAAAGGAAAGCGGAGTAACTTCACAGTGGGAAAAGATGGCGACATCACTGTAATTAAGTGACCAAAGTTAATAATGTCCCCAATAATGATACATAATTATGTCAGGATATGAGGCATAGGAAAGGATACAACATCACTTCTACAATATTCTTGCCAAAAATTCATAACCTCACTCTAATCATGAGAAGAAATTAGACAAACCCAAATCAAAAATATTCTAAAAATAGTTGACCAGTTCTTATCAAAAGTATAAAAGTCATGAAAAACAAAGAAAGAAAGAAAAGCTGTCACAGATTGGAGGAGACAAAGAGACACAAAATTAGATGCAATGTGTGATCGATTTGAAAATAAAAGTAAAAATGAAGATGCAATGCTTCCAGCCACTGTGGACTCTGTAGAGCATGACAAGCAATTTAGTTGCAGGAGAGTAAAATGGTGAGGCTCATGGAAGGAGCAATAAAATCAGAGATGCTGACAGAGCCTAGATCATGAAGGACTGATGGCGCCAGACCAGGGATGCTCGTGCTTTATCCTTTATAGGTAAGAGGGGAGGTCTTGAGACACAAGCAGAGGAGCATTCTGTAGGTGTGCGTCTTGGGGAGACCATTCAGGCTACCATGTCCCAACATAAGCTGCTGGGATCAGGCCTGAGACAGAAGATGTGGGAGCCAATCTCCAAGATGGCCCAATAATCTTTACCTCCCAGCATTCACGCCCCTTGCACACTGTGTGAAGACTACATCTTCCAGTTTCCTTTTCAGCAAGATACAACCACGTGACTAAATCTTGGCTAGTGGGATATAAGGAGAATGGTATATATTATAATTTCCAGAAATTATCCTTAAATGGAAGAGTGTGCACATCCTGGCCATTCTTCTTCCTGCTGGTTAGAATGTGGACATGATGTTTGAGTCCCTGGTAGCCACCTAGGATTATGAGGCGAACCCCATATTGCAGATGGTGAAAACAACACCATAGGGAGTGGGTCCCTAAGACATTCTTTCAGTCCTAGAATGCTTATCCCTAAACTTCATTTATGTGGAAAAAAAAAAAAACCTATGTTGTTTAAGGCACGTTTTAGGGGGTTTTCTGTCATCCACAACAAATCTAATAAAAATTCTGTTAACAAATGGGAACTTTAAAATGCCCATTCAGGCCACACAAGTAAGCCACTATTTTAGGTGGGCATGTGATGAAATCATGTCTATTAAATACAAAGGCAAGTCAGGACTTTTAATGTCATGAATTCTTATAATTGTCAAGCTGTATAATGAAGCAAAACAAACAACAACTTACCTGCCAAGGCTCAAAGTCAGGTATGTATGCACAGGTGTTTCCTGGAACATACGGCCCACGACCTTCTTCACATGTGCTGAGACTATCCAGAGCATAAGCCATAGAATACACAGCTTGTTTGACATTGTTCGTAATTCTTAGCTGAGACACATCCAGATAGGTGTTTTTAAGATCTTCCAACTTCTCTTCTCCAGTACAAAATGTGTCAGACATTGCGTGTAATCTGTCTTCTTTACCAGTCATATTCACTCTATGGTCACTATTGTACGGAACACTGTTATTGGGCCAAGTACAGTTAAAAGCAGTTTGCCAGAATTCGATGGTGAGGACATCATTTGGATCCCTGTTGGGTTGTACATCATAAAGAAATTCTTTTAATCCTGGTATATCAGTTCTTGGTATTGCAAATCCAATACTTCCACCAAAATACGGAAAATATTCAGGCTTTGCGATGAGGGCTGAGGTAATCCATGCTTCGCTCGCTATCCATGTTCTGTCAGTTATGTTATGGTAAACCATTTCCAACACAAAAGGGCTGAGGTCAATATCAGATGCGTAAAGCACAATGACTCTGGCAGTGGAGGTCTTTATAGCATCAACAGCTTTTTGCATTTTCTCATAGG